GTTTGTCCTAACAAACATTCCTTCGAGCCTCATCGGTTTTTTCTTCATTACAGTAGCAGCATAACACGGAAGATCTGTGCAAATGGTGTGTTAAGATAGATAAGGTGTTTTGGTTTTATAGGGGGATACCAAATTGCAAATGAACGTTTCTTTTTATCAATCAAGTCTTTCGTCTTTTTTGGCTGTTACAATACTACTACTAACTGTACATCAAAAATGCACAAAATGTATTAATTACCTCTAGGATTTTGTACTTTAATTAGTCTAACTACAATCCGTCTTTTCTTTATTTGTTTTAATTAACACTAGTGGAGGAGGGATCTCAGAAATTCAAAAAAAAGCATCGGATAAACCGCTATACACATCACTTATTCCACCTCCATACTGCATAGCATTGTATAAATTAATTTCGCGACTGTATCCATGCTTCAAAACTTGGAGGATCTGGACTTCGCCGATGACATATATATGTCTGATTTCCCACAAACTGGAAGATATGCAAATGAAAAGCAACAAGTTGGCAGAAGAAGCATTCAGTGAAGAAAGGACTTCCTTCAGGTGAACATAGAGAAAACAGAGGTGATGAAGATTCCTGGCCAACAGCAACAGCCACAGCAACAACAACAGACAACAATCAGCCAGCATAAATGGGAGAAATCTGAAAGAAGCAATCTCCTTTACCTACCTACCTGCAAAGCATCATTTCAACTACAGGTGGTGAAACTGACGAGGATATCAAAGCAAGAATCGGGAAAGTAAGGCAAGCTTTCATTACTCGCAAGTTTGTGTGGAGGTCAACAGCACTCAGCGTGGAAAATAAGATCCGGATTCTCAAGTCCAATGTGAGGTCACCGCGCCGCACCGCGTCACGAAGGGCACCTCGAACAAACTACAGACTTTCATCAAAAGCTGTCTTTGCTCACTACCCAAGATCAGATGGCCAGAAAAGATCAGCAATAGTGAAGGGTCTCTGGTAATGAGCGAACCGACCCAGAAGGAACCAATTGTGCAACAAATATGCAGGAAGAAATGGAGGTAGGCGGATTGGCCATACTCTGAGAAAACAAACCATCATCAAGTGACATCACACTCCAGGCCATCGCTCGAGTGGAACCCAAATGGGAAGCGGCAAGTTGGTCGTCAATGCGAGGGTGACATGGAGGTCATGAGAAGAGGAGATGAAAACATGTGGGTAGACGTGGAGCCAGGTGAAAACGTTGGCGGAGAACCGAACGCAATGGAGACGTGCGGCTGAAGCCCCATATGTTCCTCTAGGAATTAAAGGAAACAATAATAATCGATACTTCAGGTTGTTCAATGGTAGAATACTCACCAATCACACCGCACGTGGTGCATATTCGATTCCTGGCTGACTCGCCCCTAAACCCTTCTTAGTCGCTAATAATAAGTTCGGTAAATAGAGAAGGTCAGGATTGAGGCTAACAATCCCATTCCCATGAGAAACAAAAATCACCACCACTGAAACTTCAGAATTCAAGTTTGAAACCCAATGTTCCGCTTGAAATGCATAAGAACATAAGAGAAAAAATCGATGCTTTTACTACATCATATGGTCTACTAAGACAGACGATTGAGCGATCATACCTTTTTTCAAGTAATTATTATCAGTTAATATTATTATAATGATGAACACTTATACATCTTTTCAACTTTAAACTATTCAAAATGCATTTAAGCATGCACAAAGTATCAAGTGTGACAACAATTTAATCATTGTCTGCCTTATTATGTGTACATATATCAAACTTTAAGCTTCAGTCACATGGTTGGTACACACGCTCTATCGATATAAAACGAAGACAGTGACAAACAAACAAACAAACTTGACTGCAGGTAGACATGACAATTTAGTTGCAGCAGCATATGAACACAACACATAAATGCGTTTTTACGAGTTCGAGCACGGATTCATATCAGTTAGAGAACCATTGAAAATCAGTATTTTGGAGTACTGGACAGCTAGCTGTTTCGTCCTAGTTTGAGAATCATCGGCAGTACATACCCACACCAGGTTAGAACCAAAGACCTCCCGGTTAAAAGGCCAGCTCGTATACCATTCAGCCACTGGGACCCGATTCAATGGCTAACTCATGAATTCTAACTTCTACCAATTCGTGATTTAGCGCGACCCCAACCAATGTCGTCGGTGGGACATCTATGCTCACACGTCTGTCTGTCTATTTTCGACATAGAACTTTGCACCGATGTGCGGGAGTTCAAGTCGCCACACTCCCTCCATGTATTACACAAAGCAAGAGAAGAAAGTAGGAGAAATGCATATTAGAGACACTAAACAGAGGTGTGAGACAAAGGAATAGTAATAACGAAGAACAATATAGTTTCATTGGAAATCATAAGTCACAAGGAGTGGATGCATCTGCGCCAGCCATCGACAACGATTTTGAGCCATATCACCAATTGTTTCCAACCATTGTTTTTTACCGTCCCGAGGACCCCAACCAGTCAAGAAGTCTACACCTTCCCACGTGACTGGCTGCTTAAACTAACTGTTGTAGATTTCATTGACTGGTGCCATGTTTCGGTTTGACCGCCGCTAGCTCTTTTCCAGCCTGACCCTATGTCAGCTAACATTGCCCGTTGTCAAGGAAGGCGATGACTAGGCATACGTAACACATGTCCTAACCATCTCAGTCGATGTAGCTTCACAGCCATGTCGATTGATTTCTCCTCCTTACCTAGCCTAGCACTCGACGCCTAACCTCAATATTGCTCACCTTATTATACCACTTCACACAGGAGATAGAACGCAGGCACTTATGATCAAAGACAGCTAGTCTTTTCATGTCTTCCACTCTTAATGGCCAGGTCTCACAGCCATAAAAGATTGATCACGGATTGAACCCGTGGTTCAAATGAGCTTGCCTTGTAACCAGAAGGTCCTGGGTTCGAACCCTATGTCGTGAGTGCGTACTGCCGATGATTACCAAGCACTAGGATGAAACAACTGTCCAGTACTCCATGATTGGTTTTCAATGTAGTTCTCTAACTGATATCAATCCGTGGTCAAACTCGTAAAAACAAATTCTGATCCTTACAAACCAACTCTATTGAAAACAATAATGTGTATCTCTAATAAATAAAATCAGACAACAACAAAACAAGATTATCATCTTTTGGTGTATAAAAGGCGGCGTCATTTGTGACAGTATTTTACACACATCATAATACAGAACCATTTCCAACTCACGTATCATGTGGTGCATCAGTAATAATAATAATAATAATAAATATTGACCTGAGAAACTCGCTAAGTCACACACCTTTATTGTTTAGGCCAAATATAAAACTTTATTGAATGTGAACATATATATATGTAATTAAAGAGTATTAGAAAATAAAACAAAGGACGTACTGGATACAGAACTCCGACCAGAACAAGCTGGATTCAGGAAAGGCAAATCATGTTCTGACTAAATTGCAACTCTACGCATCATCATCACAGAACAAAGCATGGAATGGCAATCAAACCTCTACCTCAACTTTATAGACTTTGAGAAGGCCTTCGACAGCGCAGCGTTGACCGCGAAGTAATTTGGAAACTACTCAAGTACTACGGCGTACCCGAAATATTCATCAACCTTATTCAACAGCTGTACGACAACGGCACATGTCAAGTGATCCACAACGGAAATCTCAGCGAAGCGTTTGGAGTAAACACAGGAGTCAGACAAGGGTGCTTACTATCACCAATGATATTCCTAATTGTGGTGGACTGGATTACGCGTCAGACAGTGGGAAACGAGAAGACAGGGATATCCTGGACCACCGACGTGAAGAACCTAGAAGACCTGGATTTCGCGCGTGGATGATTTATGTTTGATGTAACACAAGATCGAAGACTTACAAGCGAAACCCGACAAACTGGTCGAAGAATCATCAAAGACAGGACTCCAGGTGAACATGGACAAGACGGAGGTTATGAAAATAACCAACCAACAACAACAACAGTAACATCCAGCGCCAATCACCATCAACGGGAGGGATTTGAAAGAGGTTACTTGTTTCACTTATCTAGGGAGCATTGTCTCAACTACAGGAGGAACGGACGACGATGTCAAATCGAGAATCGGGAAGGCGAGAAACACATTCATCAACCTGAAATCAATCTGGAAATCTTCGTCACTCAACTCATCATCAACAACAAAATTCGGATTTTCAATACAAACGACTTCAAGTCAGTTCTTCTATGCGGATCAGAAACTTGGCCAGTGTGTCACAAAGAATATTTCCAACAGCCTGTTGCACACCTTTATCAACAACTAACTGTCTTCGCTCTATACTCAAGATCAGATGGCCAGAAAGAATCACCAACAAGAAACTATGGGAACAAACAAAACAAGAACCAATCGCCCAACAAATATGCAGGAGAAAGTGGAGATGGATTGGACACTCGCTGAGCTGAGGAGGCCGCTGGATGACATCGCGCGTCAGGCCATAGCTCGAGTGGAACCCGAAAGGGAAGCGGCGAGTGGGACGTTCAAGGGTGACATGGAGGAGATCGTGTGAAGAGGAGTTGAAACAGTATGGACTAACATGGATGCAGGTGAAAAGTACAGCAGAAGACAGAAGCAAGTGGAGACGTGCAGTTGAAGCCCTATGTTCCACTAGGAACCCAAGGGAACAATAATAATAATAAAATAAAACAAATGTTCATCGAGAAACTAGAAGAATGTGTATATACATAATGAAAACAAAATAAGCTAAGTGCTAAACGAACGCATCAGTAGTTTAGTGACAGAATGTTAACCAACCCACACTTACGCTGTCCGGGGTTCAAATCCCAGCCAACCAACCCACACTTAAACCTCGTCAAACCGGGGCGGGGGGAGGGGTAGTAAGACCGGTAAAGAGGCAAGATTGGGCGTGAGACTAGCAATCACATCCTATGTCCCGTTGGGAACAGAAAGGAACAAAATAAATAATAAATAGTAATAATAATAATGGTAATAAGTACTAACGATAATATTATGCCATGGATCATCCGGTGTATCCCAATCGTATATTCGACAATTTCCACCGTAATCTTTTTCTTCTAATGGTTTTCCAAGTTCCAAATCTAAATATCGTAACCATTGACGTGCATCATCTACACTCTGAAATGAGAGGAATAAGAGGATAACAATATTGTAAAAATTGAACTATTGAAAAAATATTCACACGCACACACAGACATCACACGTAAATAAATGTAGAGCTGACAAAGGATGGATCAGGTTGGAAAAGAGTTAGCTAGTGGTGGTCAAACCAAAACCAACATGGCTTCATCAGTCAGTGAAATCCACAACAGTTAGTTTGAGCCAGCCAGCCATGTAGTAAGGTGTAGACTGCCATCTGGCCAGTTGGGGTCTTCGGGATTTGATTTTGATTATAGCTTGAAACCCCACAGTATATTTGGTACAGGTATGAGATTTTCAGCATGTGGTATCGGTAGCCCAAATTTTGCAGGCCGACCATTGACATCAAGTGTGCGCCGGACCATATGCATGGTCGGCGAGAGTTCTAACCGCTGTGCCCCTAACGCACAAACCAATGAAGGCTAGAGACAATTGGTGGTATGACCCAGGACCTTCTGGTTACAAGGCAAGCTCATTTGAACCACGGGTGGTGGGTGCGTACTACCGATGATTCCCAAGCACTAGGATGAAACAGCTATCCAGTATTCCAGTGCTGGTTTTCAATGGTTCTCTAACTGTCATCAATCCGTGATCAATCCTTTAAGCCTGTGAGACCTGGCCATTAAGAGTGGAAGACATGAAAAGGCTGCCTACCTGTCTTTGATCATAGGTGTCTGCGTTCTATCTCCCGTGTAAAGTGGTATAATAAGGTGAGCAATATTGAGGTTAGGCGTCATTCGAGTACTAGGCTAGGTAAGGAGGGGAAACCAATTGACAAGGCTGTGAACCTACATCGACTGAGATGGTTAGGACATGTGTTACGTATGCGTAGTCATTGCCTTCCTCGACAACGGGCAATGTCAGCTGATATAGGGTCAGGCTGGAAAAGAGCTAGCGGCGGTCAAACCAAAACCAACATGGCTTCATCAGTCAATGAAATCTACAACAGTTAGTTTAAGCCAGCCAGTCACGTAGGGAGGTGTAGACTTTCTGACTGGTTGGGGTCCTCGGGACGGTAAAAACCAATGGTTGGAAACAATTGGTGACATGGTTCACAATCGTTCTCAATGACTGGCGCTGATGCATCGACTCCTTGTGACTTATGATTTCCAATGAAACTGTTTTGTTCTTCGTTATTACTATTCTTTTGTCTCACACCTGTGTTTACTGTCTCTGATGTGCATTTCTCCTACTTTCTTCTCTTGCTTTTTGTGCCACACGGAGGGAGTGCGGCGACTTGAACTGCTGCACGTCGGTGCAAAGTTCTATGTCGAATACAGACCGACAGACAGAATCCTTGGTCAAACTCGTGAAAACGCATTTTTGTGTTGTATTCATATGCCTTGGCATGTCTGCTTACTGTTTACTTTGTTTGTTTGTTACTGTCGTTGTTTTATATTGATAGAGAGTCTGCACCAACCATGTGACTGAATGTTAAAATTTGATATATGTACACATAAGGCAGACAATGATTAAACTGTTATCACACTTGATACTTTGTGCATGTTTAAATGCATTTTGAATAGTTTAAAGTTGAAAAGATGTATAAGAGTTCAATTTTTTTTTGTGTGCATTCATCATTCCTTATAATACCATTAACTGATTATAATTACTTGAAAATAGGTATGATTGCTCAATCGTCTGTCTTAGTAGACCATATGGTGCAGTAAAAGCACTGATTTTTTCTCTGTTTTTATGCGTTTCAAGCGGAAAATTGGGTTTCAAACTTGTTTTCTGAAGTTTCAGTGGTGGTGATTTTTTTCTCTCATGGGAATGGGATTGTTGGCCTCAATCCCTAACCTTCTCTATTCACCGAACTTATTATTAGCGACTAAGAAGGGTTTAGGGGTGAGTCAGCCAGGAATTGAATATGCGCCACGTGCGGTGTGATTGGTGAGTATTCTACCATTGAACAACCTGAAGTATCGATTATTATTGTTTCCTTTAATTCCTAGAGGAACACATGGGGCTTCAGCCGCACGTCACCAATGCGTTCGGTTCTCTGCCAACTTTTCCATCTGGCTCCATGTCTGCCCACATGTTTTGATCTCCTCTTCTTATGACCTCCTTTATGTTACCCTCACACGACGACCAACTCGCCGCTTCCTATTCGGGTTCCACCCGACAGCGATGGCCTGGCGTGTTATGACAGTTGATGATGGTTTGTTTTCTCAGAGTATAGCCAATCCATCTCCATTTCTTCATGCATATTTCTTGCACACTTGGTTCCTGCTGAGTTGGTTCGCTCATTACCAGAGACCCTTCACTATTGCTGATCTTTTCTGGCCATCTGATCTTGGGTAGTGAGCAAAGACAGCTTTTGATGAAAATCTGTAGTTTGTTCGAGGTCCCCTTCGTGACGCGGTGCGGCGCAGTGACTCCACATTGGACTTGAGAATCCGGATCTTATTTTCCACGCTGAGTGCTGTTGACCTCCACACATACTTGAGAGTAATGAAAGCTTGCCTTACTTTCCCGATCCTTGCTTTGATATCCTCGTCAGTTCCACCACCTGTAGTTGAAATGGTGCTTTGCAGGTAGGTAGGTATGTAGGTAAAGGAGATTGTTTTTTTCAGGAATCTTCATCACCTCCGTTTTCTCTATATTCACCTAAAGTGAATTCTTTGATGCTTATTCTGCCGATTCCTTGCTTTTCACTTGCATATCTTCCAGTTTGTGGGAAATCACACATATATATATGTCATCGGCGAAGTCCAGATCCTCCAAGTTTCGAAGCATGGATACCGTCAGAAAGTTAATTTATACAATGCTATGCAGTATCAAGGTGGAATAAGTGGTGTGTATAGCGGTTTATGCGATGCTTTTTCCAGAAGTTCTGATCCCTCCTCCACTAGTGTTAATTGAAACAAATATAGAAAAGACGGATTGTAGTTAGACTAATTAAAGTACAAAATCCTAGAGGTAATTAATACATTTTGTGTATTTTTGATGTACAGTTAGTCTGTCTGTCTGGATTCAACATAGAACTTGGCATCGAAGTGCAGCAGTTCCAGTTGCCACATTCCAAATAGCACACAAACGTAGACAGGAAAATGAGTGAAGAGAATCAATAGAGTTTTGACAAGTATAAGAGTGAAACAGAATGAGTAATGGTAGAAAGCAATATGAAAGATTACAGAGACTGAATACACCTGCATAAGCCATTGACAACGATTTTGAGCCACGTCACCTATTGTCTGTCTCCAGCCATTGATTCTTAGAGTCCCGAGGGCGGGCCTCAACCCGGAAGTCTGCATCTCCCTCCCTACCTGGCTCAGTTTAGCTGTCAGGGATTTCATGGATTGATGCCATGTTTTTGTTTGGCCACCACTTACTGTTTTCAAGCCTGCACCTATATCAGCTAGTAATGCCCGTCGGGGGAGGCGATGGTTAGGCAATTCAGATGACAATTCCCCATAAGCCCTTACACGGTTACGTGAGTTTGAGTAGAGTGCCTTGATTAGTGCAATGTACTTTCTTGGCACTCCCTTCACAGTCAAACATTGCCATAGTACCTTTCTGACTGCAGCATCCACTGGATGACACAGGTTCGAATCTTGAAACAAGCGACATCAGAGTTCCTTCAAGGTTACTTACTGACTGGTGAGTGCCAACAAGCAGGAGACCTAGGTCTAACACGCTTCGTATCGATTGCCTGCAATCAGCTAATAAAAATTTCAGCATTCAAATTTAGTACGGTATAGTACGTACAAACACACACAGAAACAAATTCAAGTGGAAGTATTTATATTAGTACATAAGTAAATCTAGGTGCCGCCTTCGTCAATCACACGTTAAAGGAAAAAGATTAATATACATGTATAAACTAAAATAACTAATTATACAGGATATAAGAGAATTGAAAAAAACAACACGAAAAACGAAGTAATGCTATGCAACTAACTGGAGTACTAAATGATCTTTATACTTCAAACAAAACAAACTTGATATAAAATATATTCGTTTTATGTACAGACGTCGGTACTTTATTAGTGGACTACTCGTCGACCATACATACCCGACCGATAGCTGCTACCTTGACATGGTGGTCGGGCTTGCATATCGCAATGACCCACCAACAAGCTACACTGGCTGGAACTATTGTTCCTGCAGGTCCTACCATGCCAAGAAGGTTGTTAGGATAGCGATTAGATTAAAAGCAGTTACCGGAAAAGCGTAGGAATTTTGTTTTTTACACTATGCTGGGGGTCTGTGGGCGAAGACATACTGCCACTGGGGAATAGGGATGCAACAGCAGTAAGGTGTTTCCCTCAGATGACCAGCATGCAAGCTATGCTGTCTCTCCACTCTGGAGGTAGAAGGTTAGAAAAGGTCGACCCCAACAGTTGTACATCCCGACTTACCCTATGGTGGTCCGTAAACTAGCGGTAAGTTTACTAATACGGAACAATCCAAGAAACCAGTTCATACAGGCCGTGTGTGACCGGCCAGCATCAAGCAGTTATCCCTTGGGTTCTGCGGTCACCCAATACCAAGCCTCTTTCTGTTTCAGGTACCCGGTGTGGGCAGCCGGGAAGTAACAACCGCCCACACACTTCCAAAAGCACACGAAGCCTTCCTGAGCATCATTCACCCTTACCCACATCATCTTCATCACCTTACTCCCCTACTACAGTTAGTACTATTCTGCAGGTTAGTGAGGCATCTTCACTTTACTCTGTGACCACAAACAAGGATGAGAGCCATAGAAACACCCCCGACAGCCTCTTAAAGCCACGCCGCTAACTTCATATTAGAGCATTTAACGTAAGGACCCTCTACCAAATCGGACAACAGGCATCACTAGCAAGAACTCTGGAATCTCAAGCCATGGATGTATGTTGTGTTTAGGAGATACGCACACAAGACCCGAGTGTGGTCATTCACTTAACCCCACCCGGGCCAACAAGGTGAATCTGCAAAATTAAGTTTAAGGATGTCAGAAGACTCCTCAGCTAGTTCGCGAGGACTCGCAGGTGTAGGGATAGCATTGAGTGTTAGGGCAGAAAAATCACTTCTTGACTGGATCCCAGTAGACAGTCGTATGTGTGCGGTCCGTCTGAACGGGTCCGTTAGAAGGAAGGACGGCGTTACTCGTCGCTGTCTTTTGATAGTCTCTGCTTACGTCCCAACAGACTGCAGTTCAGATGAACTAAAGGATGACTTCTACCAGAAACTGTGTAGTTCACTGCAAAAAGAGAAACGCTCAAATATAGTTGTTTTAGCAGGCAATGTCCAATTAAGGAAGTTAGGCCAGACTGAGAAGTATACAGGTGGTACGTACGGAGTTCCCTGCCGACGAACCGACAACGGTGATCGTCTTCTACAGTTCTGTTCAGATAATCATCTATTCCTAGTCAGTGCAAACAGAGACACTGCGTAACCTGGCGACCTCCATCACCAAATCGACGCTGGACTCAGATAGACCACATAGCGATAGGGTATCGTTGGCGAGGGTCAGTAGAAGACTGCCGCTCCTTCTGGAACACGTGTGTAGACTCCGATGACGCCCTGTTTAGCGCACGTTTATGCTTACGACTAAACGGACATCAGAAATTTCTGGCAGCGAAGCAGTTACGTTCCCAACTAGATCGAGACTCTGAGTCCCTATTTAAGAAAAAAATAGCGAAACGAGTATCTGAGGTCGACAGTACTTTTCTTGAGGTAGCCTGGCACAACATACAGTTAGTTGTAAACACAGCTATAAATGCTGTTAATAACCTGAAACCAAAAGTTAGTAAGAGCCACTGGATTTCTACCGCCTCGTTCGAACTGATTGACGTAAGAAGACTGATTCCGGCGAGCTCCGATTATGATGAGGAGCGAAAGCTACTCAAACGCAAACTAACAACAAGCCCTCGCAACGACCGTGAACAGTGGTGGGCGACAAAAGTGAAAAAGATGGAAAAGGCATCGGCGATTGGTAACACCAGACAACTATTTAAACTTACCAGGGAAACAGGTGGGAAAAGGCAAACGATAAGTGAAACAATCTCTGAGAAAAATGGCACCATAATTAGCTCTCAGGGTAAACGACTAAAACACTGGAAAGAACACTTTGAGGAGCAATCTAACTGGCCTACAGTCACACTCAACTTACCAAGCATCCAACACCTCCCCGAATGGGATATAAACACAGGTCCTCCATCTCTAACTGAGGTTACTAAGGCTGTCACTAGTCTGAAACGAGGCAAAGCTGCGGGACCTGATGGAATGACTCCAGAGGTGTTTAAGGATGGCGGAGACAGTTTACTGTCTGCGTTAACTAAGGTATTAGGGCAGCGTCTGGGAATCAGAGAAAGTCCCATCGGGTTGGTGTAAGTCATTGATTATCCCGATAAAGAAGAAGGGAGACAAGTCTTCCTGTGAATATATATAACGGTCAGAAGAATTTTACATTGATTTATTGACGAGTTATCAGCTCAAAGACCATTCATTTTCAAGTTGTTCAACATCTAACTCATTTACAAAAGACACCTATACCTAGAAAATAACATAACTGTATACCACATACAGGTATTATTTACACAAATTTATTTGTGCTGCAGGTCACTGTTAGTTACATCAATCATTCAAAGGTGTATGGCTTTAAATATGCATGATCAATATTTATTTTTAATCGTTGAGCATAAATAAACAAAAATTCACTTTTATATTGATATAAGAATGAATAGAACTTGGGCATTGTGGTAGAGCATAATTTCATCATAGAGTAAATTTATTTGATGATAAAGTCTCACAGTGCTGCTATACAGTATCATCATTATTTACTGTTGACAGTGTTTCGAGTACAATTTATCGCTACTCATAATCATATCACGATGTACTCACATAACTTTCCGACTTCGTCTAAATAATTCCAATAATGGAGAAGATTTGTAGCTCAGGTGGATGATTTTGATGTAGTCATGTTCTCTGAGCTGGGTGGTTCATTTACGAAGAAGCTTTCATTGTCCTACTAGGCTACATCTTCAGAGCATACTTCAAATTGAAGTATTTACTTTAGGAATTCAATTATGCCTCACGGCTACTATCTTTAAATTCCGGGGCAAAATATGTTGACAATATCCCCTATCGTAGCAGATATATTTATGGACAGCTGAGAAATCATTGCTCTTAATACATTTAATCCTACTCCAAAAATATGGTGGAGGTATGTGGATGACACTTTCACAGTGTCTAGCTTATTGACACATATAAACCCACTAGTAAAGGGATTAAAATTCCCATTTCAATCAGAATTAGTCACGATGTTAGATTGTAAAACAAAGCGAACAGAAGAAGGTAAACTGAACACTAGCGTTTATAAAAAACCAATGCATTCTGCTAATAGACATTTAGACTTTAATTCATCTCATCCGTGAGTTGTCTGTAAAGGCAGGCTTAGTGAAGTGTTTAAGAAACCGAGCAATAGCACTAAGTAGTACAAAAAAGACCTAAATGATGAAATGAAACAGATAGAAGAATAGCTGGTTGGTGTTAAATAACTAACTATCCTATAAAATTCATTAGGAAGATCAGAAAAGGTCAAAAGCAAAATAAAAATAATGGTGAAACTAATAATGATAACATAAATAAGAGAGAATATAAGGCATCTACAGTAGTTTTACCACATAAGGAGAGGAAATCTGAGGTCCTACGTAGGATTCTTAACAAAGCACGAACTAGGGTGTCATTTAAACCTAAAAACTCAATACGTTGCAATGACTGTGAGGTTAACTACATAGGGGAGACCACTGGATTATTGGTAGTCAGATTATCTGAAAATATTAATTTAGCCGTGTCCAGCAATTGAACTCACAAAGATGAGTAATTTAGGAAAAAAACTCAGCAATTGCATGCATGCACTAAAACACAATCACACAGTAATATAGATAGATGGAGAGAGAGGTTGACTACTGGAATCGCGTTCATCCAATACACACCCAACACATGCGCATTGGGAATAACTCAACACTAATACCAGAGATATGTGGCAAATATTACTTACTACAAATCAAGTAGAGAGGTGAGAAGTATTGGAATTATGTAAACGAAGCCGGAAAGTTATGTGAGTACATCTTGATATGAGTATGAGTAGCAATAAATTGTGCTCGAAACGTTGTCAACAGTAAATAATAATAATAATGACAGTAATAATACTATATAACAACCCTGTGAGACTTGATAATCAAACAAACTTACTTTATGAAGGTATATATATATATATATATACTATCGTTTCTTTTGAATGAATGAGGTTAGCCGTCGAGTGATAGATAAGCAAGGTAGATCAGTCAATGAGGTTGTGCACTTAAATCTATTGAGATGGCTATGATATGCGTTGTTACGCATACACCGAGCCATGGCCCTCGTCAACCCTCAATATTAATTGGCATAGGATCACTCAGGTTTCAAAAGAGATAGTGGAGGCCGTCAAATGAAACCTACAACAGTTAGTTTAAGCCAGTTAACCAGCCACGTAGGGAGGTGTAGACTGCCATCTGACCGGTTGGGGTCTTCGAGATGGTAAAAACCAATGAAGACTGGAGACAATTGGTGATATGACTGGCTCTGAATCGTTGTCAATGCCTAGCGCAGATGCATTCACACTTTGTGATTTGTTATATCCAATAAAATTCTACTGTCCTTCTACATTACTATTCATTCTCCCTAACACTTCCGTTTATTATCTCTCGTTTGAATCTCTCTTTACCCTTTTTTCTCTTGATTTGTGTGCTACATGGAGGGAGTGTGTCCATTCAAAGTGCTGCACATCTGTGCAAAGTCCTGTGTTGAAACTAGTTTCATGTCAGTAGATTAAATGGGCAGACAAAATACTTCCATAAATATATATATATATATATTTCATAAAAAAACACAAAGACATAGTACTGATGACCGGATGACGTCTGCAGTATAATTTATTGCTCATAATCATATGATACAATTATGAATAATAAATTGCATGCTAGAAACGTCATCCAGTCGTCAGCGGCAATCCCTAGTGATTGGTGTAGTGTTCCCGGTGACGAGTCACAGACAGGAAGAAATACGCATCCTGGATTCAACTACCAGCCACTACCCACCAAAAAAACATCATGTTAATCCTTAGATATAATTGAAACATCTGTAATGGCAGGCGACATATCAACAGAGACTGAAGATTTCAGTGCAAATACAGAGTTAACTAAAACTAATCTGTTTAGAGCCTAGTATTACAAGTAGTACAGCGGTGGAGTGCTCGCCAACTACGCCTCATGTAGTCCGGAGCTCGATTCGCGGCCACAGACGCACTCCTTTACCTCGCTAAGCCAGTAATAAGACTGGTAAAGAGGGAAGGTTTGGCATGAGGCAGGCCAGCAACCCCATCCCGTAAAAATAATAAACACCACTGGTACAGAAAATTCAAGCCTCTAGCTTGAAGGCGCCTTATGTTCCACTGGGAACGTAAAGGAATAAATAAAAATTACAAGTGACACTTTTGTTAAGATCATTGTAAAATAATTTCTATCAAGACGTACCTGAAATAGTAGAAAGACCAGGATCAACTCGTATAAAATGCTAAGGCATAGTACAAATCTCCAAAATGCTGAAAAAGAACAAAACAAATTTTTTTTTTAAACAAAGTCAATTACCTGGTGTAAAATGGTATATAGTATAAATACGAACTTTTTGTAAAATAAACTTCAATAGGATATTCTGAAAAAGCAATAACAAACGAAATCTCCAGCAGACAATCTATTAGACTAAACCGTCAAAAATGTAAACGAAATTTCGTATACTGATTGGTAAATTAAAATCTTTATGACCAGCCATAACTACTGGACTATGCTGAGAAAAACAGGACTTGAGAGAAAGTTATGTATGAGTCAAGTTTGTTCGGGGTCTGCACTTGGTTAGTCATTCAGTAGAAAAGCTTGGCAGTTTCGTAAATATCCAGTAGACGAATTTTTCCCTGTTATGATCGTGTAGGCTACTTGCTTATGTTCTTTTCCACTTTCTTACTGCTTATCTGCATTTCAGGCATTTACGCTTATTTATGAAAGATATTCATATAAGATAAAAGTTACTGCAGCTGACTTAATCTTATACAACAGGTTTTCTTTTACTCCTTCACGATCCCAGTGGAACATAGGGCTTCAAGCTAGAGACTTGAAGTTTCAGAAGCAGTGGGGATTATTTATTGCGGGATGGGGTTGCTAGCCTCATGCCCAACCTTACCTCTTTGCCAGTCTTATTACTGGCTTAACGAGGTAAAGGAGTGCGTCTGTGGTCGGGGATCGAGATCCGGACAACATGAGGAGTGGTCGGCGAGCATTCTACCACTGTGCCACCAACGCTGTCTGTCTGTCTGGATTCAACATAGAACTTGGCACCGAAGTGCAGCAGTTCCAGTTGCCACCTTCCAAATAGCACACAAAGGTAGACAAGAAAATGAGTGAAGAGAATCAATGGAGTTTTGACAAGTATAAGAGTGAAACAGAATGAGTAATCGTAGAAAGGAATATGAAAGATTACAGAGACTGAATACATCTGCGTAAGCCATTGACAACGATTTTCAGCCATGTCACCTATTGTCTCCAGCCATTGATTCTTAGAGTCCTGAGGGCGGGCCTCAACCCGGAAGTCTGCATCTCCCTACCTCACTCAGTTTAACTGTTAAGGATTTCATGGATTGATGAGGCCATGTTTTTGTTTGGTCACCTCTTACTCTTTTCCAACCTGCACCTATATCAGCTAGTAATGCCTGTCGGGAGGAGGAGGCGATGGTTAGGCATGCACAGCACGTCACCTAGCCATCTCAATCTTTGTAACTTTATAGCCTCGTCGATTGATTTTCCCTCCTTGCCCAACACTCTACACCTAACGTCAACATTACTTACCTTATTATGCCACCTAACGCGAGAAAGAGATCGTAAACATCTGTGGTCAAAAACAGACAATCTCTTCATGTCTTCCGCTCTCAATGGCCACGTCTCACCGCCATAGAGAAGGACGGAGTGAACTGATGAGCAGTACACACGTACCTTGGTTGATAGTCGTATGTCACACCTACGCCAGAGACAGTGTAATTTAGCGAAAGCAGCTCGAGCTTTTTGGATCCGTGCTGAGATTTCGTCACCAATCAGTCCGTTGGTGCTGATACAACTTCCCAAATAGGTGAAGTGGTTAACATGTTCTATCACTTTACTCCCTATCACTGAGCTAGGAGTTGACGTAGTCCAGTCCTGTAGCAGCATCTTACATTTTACAGGGGCGAATCGCATGTCATACATACGAATATTGTTGCCACCAACGCACTATACAACTGGCAGCTGATGAAAAGTGCGTTGACATCCTTGTCCTAATGATTTCAGTAAAATGAAATTTCACTGCCGTTTTGCATGTCTGTTAATTTGAATGATAGTATTGAAAAGCTGTGTTTGTCTGAGAAAAATATAATCCATTTGTACGAAACATCATGAACAAGCTGATCACACATCCGCTTGTCAAGTCAGCTTAAATAAAAAATCAGCTAAATGAAGGCTAATTAAAATAAACACGAATAAAAGGATATATAAAGTTGATGACAATTGGAATTACTCTTGGTAGCATAAGCAGATAAGGGTAACAACAAGATAAGATGAGGAGGAGGAGAAGTGTAATAGTAAATCAGTTTTCGCACAAACAATGAAGGCGTAAATTCAAAAGTAACTACCACCCTAACATACTTCAGTATTTACCGAGTGGGGTTTTCGTCGCTGAGAAGAGTGGGAGTAAGTATAGACACTTGCAAATAAACAATAAATAAAATTTTTTTAAAAAGACAAATATCCTGAATGATGCAAATGCAAAATACGACTGCAATAGCATAATGCATGTGAACATGACAGGAAGTGGTTCATTCATCTATACCCCTTTAAGTTGACATACTCTAATTTAGTACAGAAACACGGAGACAATGTCATGGATTAAAAAAGGGACGGATTTAGAAATAATCAAACATAAATCACTAAGTGATAGATAATAATTGGTGAATAACTTTAAAATAGCTTCATTTTAAATTTTTAGCATTGATTCTCAACTACTGACTTCTAACACTTCCAAAACAACAGTGATGAAGCGTAAATCACTCGACATAGCTCGAGTTCTAGGCCAGTAACTGGAACTATGTTTTGCTTTGATAACCCTGATTTCCCTTAAATGCAGACCAACTTCAACCAACATGATACAATAAGTTTAAAACAATTAGTTCCCTTCTATATGAATTTAGATAAAGCAATAAGAAGACGTAATTTATCTGAATCGTGTAATGTGCATATTTGCGCAACACATTTCGAACAATCTGATCCGTCACACACGGACTTGTCATAGGAATATGTATATGAAATTAATAAAGAATTAAGAGGTGAGAAAATAGACTACTTAGGTCAAGTTAAAAGGACATATTGAAGGTCAAAATAACAATGAAGACCACTAAACCAAATAGCAGAGGTAACAGTACATCTACCCTGGCTGGTATCAAAACAAAATTTACCAAGGAAGGTTTAATGTGATGACGAATTGTTGCTTTGAACGCACAAAGGTGGTTTAAACTTTCTAAATGCTAGCTAGGGCTTCCACAAACTTTAGGATATGCCCCAAACACGTTTTATAGATAGGTTTAAAAGATGTGTAAACATCAATTTTATGTCCTGTCTCTATAATATGTTTCGCAATAGAGGAGCTAGGTCTCCTGTTCTCACTATTAATGGGTTCTGAAGATTCCATTTGTAGAGATCGATGAGTCTTCCCTATGTATGTGTGTCCACACGTACATTCAAACTGGTAAGTACAATGGGGTGTGAAGTCATTTTTCGCATATATATTCCTATGACAAGTCTGTGTGTGATGGATCAGATTGTTCGAAATGTGTTGCGCAAATACAACATTACACGATTCAGACAAGTTTAATTCCTGACCAGATATAAGTGAAAAACAGGTGAAGGACGCAGGATAAACACCTTGCATAGAGAAAAGTCAGTTCAAATCGCGGCACTAAGATCATATAGGGGAAGAAAAAAGTATGTGCAATGTGGTACTTAATGTTTGCCTTATTTATTAGGAAAGTACATATTGACTAGCAGTCTGCAAGTGGCATTAAGAACGACTACTATCTGTAAGGCTTTATCTGTCTACATCTCATTGGATTTTACTGAACATCCTACTTCGACAATACCTAACCTGAAAACGTGAATAGTAATAATAATAATAATAATAATAGAATGAAGACTGGATACCCACTTGAGACTTTATTACTAGCCTATACACAGATAATTATTTCTCTAGCAAATGACATAGTACGGACTTTAGCAACCAGGAAGATAGCCTTTTAATCATGCTTCCTCACAATTTCTAACTACCAAATATATTCCTCATCTAACTCGAAAACTCAAGATCATACGTCATATAATACGCCTGAGATATAAACTAGCTTTTGACAAAATGAACAATATGAAGCAAGTTTTTCTTTATATTTAAGCTTTTAAGAATTGAAATCCAAATAATAAAGAGTCAAAAATAACAATTTTCAATGTATTTAGACATGTAGCGGTAAATAACTCCCCGAAATTGTTAGTCTACAGCATTCATCGCTCAACATTGGATGCCGACCTTCACTGTTTAAGCCAACTGATTGAGTCTTCACGGTTAAGCATCCACCCGACCGAAAGCTGCTACCTTGGCGTTGTGGTCGGGCTTGAACACCACAATGACCCTACAAGCTATACTGGTTGAGACTTATGTTGCTTCAGGTCCTACCATGCCAGAAAGGTTGTTTGGATAGCGGTTAGACAAAAAGCAGCCACCCAGTCCAATACTATGATTCAAACAAATTCACAAAATATCATGCCGGATCCGTCAGGGTCCGGATTAACAACGACCGCGCTTCCTGCTACCGTGTCACAGAGTAGAAGTGATAAATATGCTACTGAGACACACCAAACAAAAAAGAACAAACAGAAACAGGCTGCGTGTGACCGGCCTCAAGCAGTTGTCCCCTGAACTCTGCGGTCACGCAACACTAACCCTATTTCTGTTTCAGGTACCCGAAGAATCCATCAACTTCCACGGTGTGGGCAGCCGGGAAGTAACAACCGCCCACACACTTCAAAAAGCACACTAAGCCTTCCTGAGCATCATTCTCTTTTACGCACATCACCTTCCTAATCTTGCTTCTCTACTGCAGTTAGTACTATTCTGCAGGCTAGTGAGTCATCTTCACTTCACTCTGTGTCCACAAACAAAGGCGAAAGCCATAGAAAAGCCCCAGATAGCCTTCTAAAGCCACCTCGCCAACTTCATATGGGAGCTTTTAACTCTGTTTAGCACGCTGCGATACCATCTTCGCTAGTCCGTGCCTGACGCCTAGCTAGCTAAGCAATCCCCATCGTACTACGATTCTGATCGCGAAATATATATCGTATTTCGGACGATCAGTTTGGTGTTTTAACTTGTCTTTGGTCTGAGTAGAACATATACTACTATAGGGGTCAGTGGATACGAACTTGCTTTTGTATACATCGTACTTTGCGTAAACATCAACATCCCTTTATCTCCTAAAAATATATATGACTAACCACAATTCACCTTAGTACAAAATGTTGAAAGCAATAGAACTCAGTGTTTTAAGCCAAACTAACAACTTACAGGTTTCCCTCTGTTATTGTTTGCCACTGTGAAATGTCATAACGATTAACACAATGTTCTAAACAACGTCAACGTTAATACACATTACATGTCATGACAGAATGTTGTCTACATAATTGGAAGTTGACGCTTATTAGAAATACTATTGCAAACACACAACTAAATATGGGCTAGTTTATGGAGGTTTGAAAAAACTACACCACGATTGACCTGGTCAATGTATCCATTATTTTCCTACAAGAGGTTGATCATTAGCTCCAAAAGCTCAGTTGTAACGACTGTGACTGAAGCAGTGGATGGCGCAGATCTGAATTTCAGAGGGGACATCAGTTTCTCCAGGGTTGTAGATGCACCTTGCTGACGGGTGCCAACCAGCCCAAAACCTAGTCTTATGGATTCCTTCCGATTACATTAATATGTGAACCTTCTGTATTGGCAAAGGGAACAGATAGTCATAAACGCTAATAACGATTGACATCATTGATTGAATCCACGTATAGTTGTAGGTCTTGTAACTATTGAAATGCTATGGATTTGCAAATAGCTCAGTGTGGATAATTACAAGCATGAATTCATTTGTAGATTCGTAAAAGTTGCTTTTGAAAATGGTGTACAAAGTGAAGTGGTAAACACTAATTTATGGAACTTTAATATATTGCAACCTAAGACTCTATGGGAAATTCAATGTTTAGTACAACCATTCCGTTTAGCATGTGTTAACAACTGATAAACATGTAACTTCTACGGTATTCGTGCGTTCTGTAATCTGAACAGTCTAATTGTGACATAATACGGTATTTTTTCGTAAACATTAGGAGGGGTGTCCCAAAATTTGGGACACATGGGAGGAGACGGCAGAGTACTCGTCAAAAGACCGGATACAGCAAAAAATAACGGAGATGTGTTCGTTGAAAAGGTGAAACAAATTGGAAAAAGTAAAGCTATGAGGAAAATGAGATATAGTTCTGCTTTCTTTTACGCACAGTCCTCGAATCAGGAAGCTTTTACTGGTACTTTAAACTTCATCACTAAGTAAACGTTGATGACATTTTCTAGATGGACAGTAATAAGACTCAGATAAGAACAAATTACCCACCCGAGCAAACTTTTCTAGTGCAAAATGCCATCCTTTCATTTGTGATTTTCTTGAAATTCACCTATTTTGACTGTTTCAATTTGATTCATTTAGTTCATCTGTATGGCTGATATTATTGTTTCGAGATCAATAACTAAGTGATTTCATGTCACTACACCAATAACTTGCTTTATAGTATTTGCAATTCTACTACCATTATATAGGCTGATATTTCTACTTAAACACAAGTGTCATAAGAAACCAATAGAATTTCCAACCATTTGCAAGTTGAGATTATTAAACTGCACAGCGAACACATTACACACGAGTAACTTAAGAGAAAAATGAACTCATACGAACAACTCACCAGGATGAGGCCGAAGAAACGGTCCGTCTGGCGTATGTACGACTCCGAACAGAAGAAATACCATGATAACAGCACTAATACCACTTTACCAAGCATAATGATACCAGTACTGCATGCTAACTTACCGTTTCATGTTGTATTCAGAGGAGTAATTGCCATTCTCTGCAACAGCAACATAGGTGAGAATACATGCGAATATTATCAAACATAAAACAGTATGTGCATTCCTACGGCATCAAGAGTCAAATAGAAAACAAAATACCAGAAGAAAGTTGATGTCCCATCGTCATAAAATTCCTTTGTTTTGGTTTTTTCATCTTCCCAATTAAATGAACCCTTACGAGATTCTAATTGCACTTGTGTACTATGACTACTCAATTGACCATTAGCCTTCGCAGTGGATACATTCTTGTTCTCATCAAAACGACATGAACTTCTCATGTTTAAAAACTATGCAAAGTCTGAAGGTCATTGGAGAATGCAAATAGTATGATTAAACGACTTGAAAATCTGCCTCTACGGCTAAGGCCTCTTGAACTAATTTACATTTTAGCACGATAACTTCAAAATTCGGGCTTCTTCTCAAAAGTTAATAACACCTTATGGTGCCCTCACGGATAGAAGTTCAATATCCAATATTCTGATTACGAGCTAGTATAAACCAGAGGTTTCTTTGAGCTCACTTCTTGATCGTAAGGTAGAGGTTCCAGATCTTTGGTGAACTTATGCGTAGTAAATCCCGCCACTTGACTGCTTTAGCTCTGGTAGACTCCAGGAGGAGTGGTGCGAGGATTGGTCAAGATGTGGTTTTAGTGTGCAGTATGTTAGGACTCAGTTGCCGTCGTGAATGGAGTTTGACCTAACACCCGTTGGTCATTCGGTGTAGTCATAAAAGTAGAATAGTAATAATAATAGGTTGTAGTGTAGATAATATAGGTTGAGACAAGTGAAATAATAAAAGTGTCCAAAGAAAAGATAGAGTAGTCGGTACAGCGAGAGAAGACAGGACGGGTCGTGGGGATTTAGCTTGTATGCTTATCCATTGACAGTGTGGTTTCAAATTTTAAGAGGATAAGCCATTGAGACACAAACCATGCATTTCAGCATGATTGTCCGCTTAAAAGTCTCCACAGATGGCGCTGTATTTACGGCCACCGGTAAAGCATACCATTTCGAATTTATTTCTAACGAAAGATTGCAATTCCAAACAAATCTGTAGCATAAGAAGCTAATCTTGATATGAGATCGACTGTTTCTCAACCATGCCCAGTCAGCCAATGCATGTGAAGGAAGCATTCAATAACTTAACTATTTTTAGGCTTTCATGCACGTCAGTGACGTTGTGAGATAACCATAATCGGCTATTTGCCGTGTTTTTAAAGGGTTCTTCGCATTATGTCAAAAGTGGGGATAAAATCTTCTGCGCTAAGTGTGATTTATCGTGTCACCGTCTATCCTGGTGAAAATGAGAAACATAGAATTCTTCTTAGGCTTCTTCAGTTGAGGTTATAAAGTGTTTCTTATATTTTAGCCGTAATCCTGCCTAAACCAGTTTTGCTATACGAGATGAACGAGTGCCAAAAAAGACACACACCAACGGAATTTATGCACAGAAATGCCTCTTATTTTGTCTGCAAGTTTTTAAGTGTTTCGTAATTTTGAATGGTTTCTCGTTGCAGGCTAAAAAGTGACTACAGCCAGGAGCTAATTTTAAGGCAAATAATCCATGATATTCCGAGTTTTGATGAAGAATAAAACCGCACACGTGAGTTAGATATATGTTATAAAGAATGTATGAGGTATACGTGCTACTTCATTTTCATCCAGAATGACTGAAGTCTTTTGTCACAAGCCGAAGGTAACATATTTTGAATGAAGTGTGAGGCTGAATTTTGCGGTGACCTTGTCCATTCAGATGAAGTTCATAGATGAAATCATTCAGTTTCAAATGTGATGCGAGTCGGCTTTACATTGTCACGCGGGATCGTCAAAGAATTTACCCACTTACCTCATCAAGTGACACCAGCCGATCTTGACTGCAATGTGAACAAGAAGGATATTATGAATGGTCCTTCTTAAATCTAACACTACTTACAACCGGTATTGCCTTCCAGTCGAGGAGTGTCATATACGTTCGTGCTACTACTAGAACACCTGGAACGTGAGTTATACCACTCTTAATAATCATTCATTTTCAGGTCACCAGTGGTACTCTGGTTTCCTTCAGGGATTATCTCAGAATATGGAAAATTTAAGAGTTTCACGCCTGTTTTACAGTTTTAAATCATCATTAAGCACCTTTTATGGCTCTGTGAAGTTCAAACTGAAATGCCTAATTTTATGCAGTTATTGCATGCTAGTCTTCCTGGAGGAACAGTTGATGAAAATGAACAGGACGTCAGTCTTCTTATCGAATGAATGGGTATCCTACAGATTTCCTATATGAAAATTAGCCATAGAAAATACTTTGGGAAGATAGAAATAAGCGTTGTTCCACTTTCCTGAATTACTATCTTTCAGATGTGCCAAATGTCTTTCAAAGTTTGAGGTGGCACAACAGCATCAACTCGTCGTCTGCCTAGTGATGCACTTAATGAAAGTTTGGCATGGGTTATGACGTATAAAGGGACTAGTGATAAAAACTGTGCTTTGGATTCCACCTTCTCCTTAGTAGTTGATGAGTAGCTTATTACAGGTAGAGCATGGACTATTGATAATAATTTTTGGGTGATTTTGTCCCGAAACAAATGGAATTTGATAAAACTGATGTTGAAATGATGGTTATTATTGTGGAAACCGTGAATGACTGGCGTCATGACCACCATATAAGGAAGAAGAATCAACCGTTGTAAGAAAAGATAGGCTGTATAAACAGGCACTTAACTTTATGTTACTTTCTTCTAGTGTCAAACGGATTTAACGAAACACTTCACTCCTATCGCTGAAGGAGCACGCTAACACCGGTGAGCCTGTTCACAGCGATTAGACAGTATTTACCTGTAAATATTCTTCACTAAATATACCTTGCATCTTATACAACGGATTTCTGTCATTCTGTTTGAGTGAAAATGGAGTTGTTGTTTGGAAGAGATGAAGGCTTAATCGATTGATAAGACGCGAGAAGTCAAGTAGTGCCGCGATTGCTACAGCTGCATCAATTCGTCCAACCTAAGCAGCTTGAGGCTGAAATATCTTTGTTTCTCTCAACTTTAAGTTTTGTCGACGGTCGAGGTCTGCGAGGGGCAAATGAGCAGTAGTCAAGAGATGAAAGGATACATGTCTTGCAAAACATAAATGCCAATCAAATAAGCTGTAATTATTTCAGACAAACTCACTCATGCCTAAAAATTTGACGAGTGTAAGTAAGCATGTTTTGGAAATGATAGGTCATGAGAATATGTTAGTCATATACCCGTTTCAGACTCGACCCATGAGAGTGAATGTCTGGCGTGTTTTCAAGGCTGTCGTCTCTCATGTTCGGCCAACAGCAGTTTACATTACTAATTTTTTGCAGAAGGCTACCTTAACCGGTCGAGTGCGTATAAATAAGGGAGTGGCCTACTACTCACGAAGCATTCATGGATAATATTTATGGGAATCAATAAGGCGGGAGAATAGAATACTTTTCCCTGAGTTAAAACAGTGTTCGTTGGTCTTGACACGGAGGCATTAAATTGGAATTCGTTAATTTGCTCCCTGGTTTTTATTATAGGCCTAGTCAGATTGAATTAGTTTCTGCTGATGATGCCGCCTTTAGCAACATGCTTGAGAATGATGCCCCGTGATAGACGAAGCCATTAATGACGCTAATTAACTATACCGAAATTACAGAAACTCTGCATTTTGACACTAGCTGAATACCGGAAGTGTGTATAAACATCTGTCGGCTAAGTGAATTTGTATCTTTGCCACTGACATGTATTTTTCCAAATAGTTATTTTAAAAGATCGAGCGGAACAAATTTCGCTTTGCCGACAGATTTTTATACACACTTTAGGTACTTAGCTAGTGACAAAATGCGTAGTTTTTGTAATTTTGGTAAAGAAGCATCATAGCATAATGAAAGTCGGTCATTATACACTGAAATTTAGGAGGCGCAGATATGTCACGCTGAATGAATGATAATTGGCTCTGATAAAATTAATCCTATGTACAGCACTTCTTTTGCATTTTTATCAGCTAAATATGAACTATTATCTTACAGAAGTCGCTTTCAGACGCATCTGCAAATTCACGTGAACATACAAGAGTGACTGCATTGAGAGAAAAGAAAATTGAGACTGTATGTGATATGATGAATTTGGAAGAGTTCGGAATTCAGGGGCTTCCAGGCACTTAAAGATGGCGTTAGTCAACATCTAGCAGACTACGTACTTATTATCATTCTCCAAGATTCTGAGTAGAACGTAGGGCTTCACAGCACATCTCTATTTCATGCTTGTAGGTACAGTCATTTTTATCAGGCTTAATGATTGTTCATAGGCTCAAATTTTCACCTCCCCCACATCACTATCAGACACTCTACTCGGTATTTCTCATCCGAGTTCCACTCGAAGGTCTGTCAGGAACATAATGTCACCCAACGGCACCCTCTGTGTTCGCTGCAACTCCATTGTATTCGACATATTCTTTGAACTATGGGTTCTTGGTCAGAGTCCCTCGCTGCTCACCATTTCTGCCTGACCATCGGGGCTTCAATATAGAGCGAGGGCATGTGTTGATAAAATTCATCAGTCTATTGGCTATGCTCTGTGTAATTCGCCAAGTCTATGAACTAAACAGAAGTTTAGAAACAGAAATTTTTGTAGACATAATTGCCGTAATTATCTTACAACAGCTGTTTATGTTACCAGTTTAGGTTTTGAACGTTGATTTTGGAATGCGTGGCAGAGGTACAATGAAGCAAAGAAAGCCTTACAAATCATGAAGAAGATATTGTTCCTATTTAGTGACTCGTTTCATTCCTTGGAGTGCTTTGATCATTAACTACACGTTAGTGACCATATCTCTTTATGTTGTGGAAATCCTAAATAAGCACTAGATTGATACTAGTGTTGAAAATCCGAATCTTTCGCTCTTTGTTGAGTGAATCAGATTTCCACACTGATTTCAGAGTAGTGAGCGTCTCCCTAACTCCCACGATCCCGCACATGATATCCTCATCTGTGCCGTCTGTAAGTGAAACAATATTACCTAGTTCAGTGAAACAAGAAACCCCTTCTGAATTTCTTCCTTTGATGGTGACTGGTGCTTGTTGTAGCCGGCTAGATATCTTCATCTTCCTGCTTTCTCTATATTCACTAAAATTCGTATCTTCACTGCTTCATCTGTGAATTTGTTGGTTTTCTCCTCAGTGGGCAGTGATTCATATACCTTACTTATCCATGCTTTAACAACTGGTGTATCCTACATTGATAGGAAAAAAATATATATTATTATTA